TTTCCCTTTGGATTGCTCTACTGAGAGGCAATCATAAAACCCGGCCACATCTGCTGTCACGTTAAGTATTGCCATTCCTCCATCATAGAGGAGATACTTCGAGGCCTCGGCCTGAATCCTGCTCCCGTTAAACTTCCACACTACGCTTGCCAGATTCGACAGGGGAGCACATTTAAGATGAACATTGTTTCCAAAGGTAAATGGAATTTTCCTCACACTGTTTTCTGAAATGATGAAGACATTTTTTTAAGTCAGAACACTGGGGTTTCATTCCATTTACATAACCAAATATTTCAATAAAGGTAAAATCTAATTCACCAGTCTTGCCAATGGGCAATGAATGGGTAAGGGGTAAAGACAAAGAGATCCTACTGCTGACAGCTCTGACAGTGACATCTTTCTGGCTTTATTATTAGAGGAGAGATTGAGATGAGACATTAGGAAGAAGCTCTTCCCTGTGAGGGTGCTGAGGCGCTGGCACAGGGTGCCCAGAGAAGCTGTGGCTGCCGCATCCCTGGCAGTGTTCAAGGCCAGGTTGGACACAGGGGCTTGGAGCAACCTGCTCTAGTGAAGAATTCTAGAAAGCATAAACAGGAAGTTCAACTATTCTTTCTTAACCCAAATGTTCACATACCTCCACTAAGGCAGCTGGAGGCATCCCCAGCTTTCACACTCTGAATTAAATGCCTGGGGGGAAAAAAAAAAGGAGAAGAAAACAAAAAATCCCACCAAAACCCAAAGAGATGCAAACACAGCCCAGAAGTGTTCCACCATGTACCACTCCACCTCTAGGAACCACCCGAGCCTTGTGCTATAAGGCGCGCACTGATAAAGCCATCTCCCATCAGGTGTGCAGCTGGAACCCAGTTCTTCACTTACATTGGAGGAGCAGTTTGCTCTGCCAGGGAGACACATCCGTGAGCAGCCGGAGCCCAGGCGCAGTAGGGATCCCTTGCCAGGATGCAATCCATGCAGTACCTGTAGCGGTGGCACTGGCAGACTGGAAGCTGCACCACTTGAGACTGGGACCCTCCATAGAGCATTCCCTGGAAATGGGCAAGGGAGTTCTTTTGCAATAGGGAGATTTTAAGCTGTTATTTCCTAATGGGAATTGTCAGGTTTTCTGGTGTTCATTAAAAATATCAGTAAACTAAAGATCTTGTCGGAAGAGATGGGGATATGAGAAACCCCCTCAGCTTTCCACAGCATGGAAACCAGTCACTATTTCCACAGTAAAATGACCGAGTTCCTTCCCTAACTTTTTAACAAACAGAAAGGCTTGTTTCAGTTATACTCTGACACACACAAATACTTCTACAGAAAAATGTTTCCTGCTTCTGTTATTGACAAATACATGATAGAAGGAGAATTATCTACCTAGAGATGTTTACAGGTTATTTAAAAGCCAGGAGAACACCACAGAAGAGCAAGGCCTAAGCTATTACAGCAGCCCCTTTCCACATGCAGGGATGGAAGCTCTACCTTTTCAGAAGACAACTGGAGAGACTGTACAGGCTCCGGAGCCAGAAACAGCTGCAGCTCTTCCACAATGAACATTTCCCCATCACAATTGAGAGCTTTATGCAAATATCCATCATCTACAGCAAATGAAATGTATTTCTAAAGAGAAGCTTGTTTAAACATAGCATAACATTTTAGCCTGGTCATTCATGTTGAAATGGGAGGTTTAGCAGACATTCCTGGGCACAGGGAATTTCTAAGTGTCTTCAAAGCAATTCTCATTTTTGCTTTCAATGAGAGAAGCACTGATTTTTAATTTTTTTCCAGACCTCAAACAATCCCTGAATTTGCAAATACGATGTGAAGCCTCCTTTGATATGGAAAGTTTCTAAAGAGAGCCTTTTAATGTCCAACAAGGCAAACGCATTTAATCTAAGTGGGATGAAAACAGTAAACTAGCAAGACAGCTTCTGAATGCAAAACTTCAAACAGAGCTGAGGAAGAACTGCCCTTTTTACAAGTCTACCAAAAAAAAAATAATCTGGCACAAAATACAGAACAATGGAGAGTATCTTCTCCTACAGTAACAGCTCTTACCTGTTCCCAGAAACATAACATCGTACGTTTGCTGATCGAGGCCAGTGACTCTGTCTACCACGATCCTGGTGTAGTTTGAGCCTCTCCTCAGCAGCACTGGGCTGTCACCAATTGGATTTACAGAATCATCCATTAGAGGGTGATCTCTAACAAACTGCAGGACTTTGTCAGGCAAGTCAGTAGACGTGTTATAGCCCATACTCCGGGCAGAGTTATCTATGCACTAGGGACAAAATACAACAAGCATGAGGACACTTGAGCTTTCATTTCACTGAGGTATAGAGAAAACGTGCATTTCCCTCTAAACATTCAGTTATTTCTACTTATCTTTGAAAGATAAAACTCATTCTTTTCCTTTATGAACTAGCCAATAACCCCACAGCTTGTGGCAAGGAGGCTTTTCTAGGAACCTTGGTGTGATGGAAGGGGAAAGCAGGTGACTCTGCTGACTGTACACACTGCATTTATAGTGGTAAAAAAAAGACATTCCAGGGGCTGGTTTTTAATTAGAAGAAGTAAATTCATATTTACAGCACCAGGACGTGGAACTGGCACTTCTCCCCTATAAACCATCCACTTAACAGGGGAATGCTCTACAGTTACTGGTCCTTTGTAGCTTCCTTTGGAGAAGACTTCCTGAATAGTTTTCATACTGTAGGCACAAACAGCTGATATGTCTAATCTTCCCCTTAGAAGAAAACAAACAAACAAACAACAGAACAACACACAAAATAAAGCAGGTTTTATTTTTGTTACAAAGAAAGAAATAGTGTAAAAACCCCCACTCTCCAGTGCACACGGATCTTTCTCAGGATTAGTCAAGACACCCAACACTAAAAATCCTTCTCTGTTGCAGTTTTCATGATTCACTGAGAATAAACCAAAACCACCCATAAAAGACGGTATTAAATATTTGTTAAAAATCAAGCAATCACTCTCAAATAAACTGAAACATAGAGAATGAGAACGTCTGACAACCTCTCTTGTGAACAGGCAGATGAGCCCAAGTATACGGTAATCAATGTTCTGACAGGATTCTCCTCCCTTTGGCTCCTCACTTCTAACACAAACCATTAATTCTTCTTCTAATCCCTTTAACTCATCTTCCTGAAAACCACAATCCCTTCTTTGCCTCCAATTACAATGTGTCTCAGAATAATGCCTGAAAATGGAGGGAGCCTTTTAGGAGTGTCTGGATCAGACACTGATGTGATTTCAGGTGTCTCAGGGAATGATACGCCCAAAGGAATAAATGTTTTACAAATTCCTGTCTTAGGACACAGCAAACCCAACCTGCCAGAACCAGGAATAACACCCACTGTTGTGAACACCCACCAAAGCTCTAGTGGGTATAAAGCGATGGGTAAATGGGTGGCAGCAGGTTAAGCTGCACGGTGCTGACTGTGCCGCACTCTGGTAATTCTGATGCTTTTGTAAAACATGAGAGTTACCTGCTCATGGCTCCTGGGGTATTTTTGGACATGTAAAGTTTTGCTCCACTTAGTCTTGTTTTTCTTCATGAGTCAGAGCATTAAGAAAAAACTACTTAGCCCTAAAACTTGGATGGTTTTTTGTTTGGAGTTCTGTTTTCATCTCCACAGAACATTACATTGGACAAGCAGACCATGACACATACTACTTTTGGAGCAGGAGGATAATTCTGCACCTTGAAATGTCAGCTATTTCTTTTAGTGCCACAAGGACCAGAAGAATCCAGGGCTTTGTGCATGTAATTATGTAATTTTCTATGTAATGAGTTTTAATTGCCCCACCATCCAACTAGAGAAAACATAACTCTCAGAACTGGGCTTAGAAGTTTCTGGTTAGTCTTTAATTGAAGGCTTTGGCCCAGGAATCAAACCTGTTTTGTTTCAGATGATAATGTTTGCTCGGTTGGATCAAGCTGTAAGAAAACTGAATGTAGTCCATTAAAACATGCAATGCAAGTACCTGGTAGCTTCTGGCTTTGAGTTAAAGCCAAATGGCTGTACCCAGGCTAGTCCCACTGCAGTGAGAACCCTTCCTCCCTTCGTGACAGACTCTAGTATGAACACAGCCCTCTATCTCACCATTGCTGGGAAAAAATTCCATAAAATATGCTGTCCTGCCACCTCCTTCTCCTAAGTAAAAAGATGTCCTGGACAATATTGAAATGGAAGTTTAATTCTGGAACGGAACAGGAAAGGCGGGACTTTAGAAACGATGTCCATCTTCTCTGCAAGACACGTTTTCCACCAAGATCTCCCTAAAAGGAAGAACACAGGCACTGTAGGATGCATCAGGAAAAAGGTGTCATTTTCATAACAGCACTGATGTGAAAAGATGTGTTGGCCTTTCAACAGAAGTCTCAGTTCAAAGGCAAAGAAAAAAGGGTTGAAATGTGAAATGCAACCTGAAGAGCTGCTTGTTCTAGCAAGAAAGAGGAAGCTAGTTGAGAAGTAACTGTACGTGACAGAGTTCTGTTTGGTCAGGCAGCGTGGATACCACTGTCAATCACTCGAGTATGAAACTTCATCTGCAATACACTCATTGAAAACTTTATACTACAAACACTAACTCTGCAGACACGGGCAATTCTGGACACCAGCAGCTTGTCATAGAATTCAAATTCAACAGCTGTTTCAGTGAAGAAGACATAAATTTTGTCATCATCTCCCTCTGGATTAGATTCACTTTCGTGCACTATTTCCATGCTGACAAAGCTTGGTTCTGAAACACAAACACAAACCATTGAAGTTTATTCCAAGAAAAACACAAATGCCAAAGATTCTTTTAAAATTAAGCCAAATTGAACTTTTTTGTGGAGTAGTGGAAAGGCTGAAAAGTATTTATGAGTCTATCCAATGTTATGAGAAGGAACTGTGCTTTCATAAATGGAAAGGGACTGTGGCTCATCTCACCACTGCAGTCCATACTCACAAATGTCTTTTACATTCTGCCCTTAATTCAAAAGCTCACATTACAAAACCAATCCATCACATCCTGCTACACTCCAGAGAGAATTCATACACCAAACTGAAGTTCAAGAGATTGAAACATATACAAAAGCTTCTTACCATTTAGCCATGATGTTTTAAACTCTGTCCTTACAGGATTTCTCATGCTGCGAAGTATTATAGGTTCTGTTCCCAAGAAATTATTTGAAGTAGCTGAGTAAAATTCCCCATCTGGAAAGATTTGGAAGAAACAAAGTATGAAGTACTTCTTTTTAAGATGCAAAGCCATCCGCTAAGGAACAAATTGGGGTTGACAAGCAAAACCAGAATGAGGGGAATGGTATCCAATAGCTTAGTTTAGATGAGGAAACTCATTTCAGGTTTCCTGTCCATCTAAACATACCTACAAAAACAGACGCATACTTCTGAGTTGGTTCAAAGGGACACCTTCCTCTGCTCTCCTCAGCTCTTCCTTGCAAGCTGATGTTTGTCCCATGGATAACCTATGGCAAATGATCATTTCAACAGGATGAGAAGTCACTTTCTGGTCTTTCGTACTGCTATAAAAGAAATAGGGAAGTTTTCAACAGGAATACTTTGAGCAGAGTGTTTAAAGATCCGCCACACTGCTCAAATACCTGCAGGAAAGACCTAATTACCATGTAATCACAAGTTGGGTGATAGGCGTTGGTTCCACAGACATACAAGTAAGAGGCATTTATCTTATGGAGGAAGAGGATGTAGTTCTGGCATCTTATCTAAAAGAGAAAATAAACAGAAAAGCTGTGGAGTGGATTGCATCTGACAATCTCCCCGTGTCTCAGCAGCAAGCAAACCAACCCCACACACCGAGAGAGCTTTTACTTTGTTTAGTACAAACAAGCTAGATCCTAGCACCATTTTTATTTTACTTAATAATGACAGAAGTTCCTACCTTGTCCTTTCCTCTACGAATACATTCCAGCTGCCTTTCCTGTGTAGCGAACCAGTATTCCTAAAAGGCAGAAATACTTGTGAGCTGCTATATTGCAATTACCTATTTTCTCCCCACAACATTATGTGTAAAAAAATCCCTAAATAATCCTAACTTTGAACTTCTGGAGTAAAGAAGCATCATACACCTCTCCAACAGACAAGGCATAATAAAGAACCTGATGGTAATAGATACCTGATGATAATAAAGATCCTGTGATAAAGTTTCAAACCTTGAAATAGTACATCAGGACATGATGTTCAGCTGAAGAAATCCATGAGCCAAGTATTTTTTTTGATGAAGGGTATGGAAAAAAAAAGATCTTTCATTTACCCTGGCTGTTTCTCTAGAAATATTATTCAAGTCAAGAGCAAACACTGCCTCTCTGCCTCCAACAAACAGGGTATTGGTTTCTTCGTTCACAAGCAGAGTGGAAACATTGGCTAAGCCTTCCTCCCTAAAGGTGGTGATATTTCCAGCTGCAAAACACAGAAGTTACTTCAAAAATACTTAGTACTAGAACAACAATGTAATAAAACTTCCAGATTAAAAACAAACTGTAACAGAGCAAAGGGAAAAGCTCGTACACTTTTCCAGAACATTTCCTAAATACTAGGAAAGTATTTGAAGAAATGCAGAGATATTCTTTACCTAATT